TATTTTCCGTATGATCTCACCTCTGAATTCGTTAAGTATTCGACATAACAAATTTTGCTCAACTCCATTTAACTCACGAGTGTTGGAATGTAAATTTGTGAATTATTGTTTTTTGTTTCTCAATACATTTTGATATAAGGCACTATGAAAGTGTCTCTCTAAAAGTTTTTCCAGTGATTTATATTCCTCATAGTTCATGCTGACCGTGTACATTTTTCTAGGTTAAGCCCATGAATCCAATGAAGACTTCTAAATTGCAAGCTACTAAAGCTTAGCCCGGAAAATGCGAGCAAGAATCTCCCGGCATCTTCTGGCAGAGTTATTATTATCGGTTATCTGTCTTACTTTTGCTTTACAGATGTAATAACAAAGAGCAAATTAAATATTTGTTTAGATTATATACTGAAGAAAAGCGACTAAAATATCATTTATACACAAACATCTACAATGACTCTTTCGATTATTGTTGAAGATAAATAAGTGTTTTATTATAATTGATTAACGTCTAATGATAATGGGATCCACTAATCAAGCTAGCGACAGCAATCGATGTCTCAGCGAGGAGCCTTTGGGCCTACAGTGAAAGCGTTGACTGTATCCAGGGCAAATAGGCGCCAACATTGACGTAGACCCCGGGCACGTTTGCCTGCCCGCAGCCGATGCCCCAGGCGACGAGGCCGACCACATACCAGAGCCCATTGCTGGTGCAGACGAGGGGAGAGCCGCCATCGCCGGTGCACGCATCCTTGCCAGGCTCGCCGCCGGCGCAGATGAAGCTGATGGGGTTGAGGGCAAAGGCCGGCCCGAGGCGCGTGGACTGCAGTGCCGTTTGGCAATTGGCATTCGGTATTAGGGGTACATCCACCTGACGCATAATCGCCTGGTATGCGCCCGTCGGTCCAAAGTCGTTCTTGCCCCAGCCAGCCACCCAGCAGCGCTGTCCCACGAAGCTGACAGTGGGCAGGCAAATGGTGCCAATGGTGGAGCGGCTGGTAAGGGAGACGGGCGTGGCCAGCTTCAGTATGGCCACATTGTTTTGCAGATTATTGGGATTGAAAGCGGGATTCACATAGACATTAGAGACGAGCACATCTTGCGCCGGTATGGGCTCACTAATGCTGGCCGCATTCCATTCGCCCAGGCGCACCTTAAAGGAGTTCAAACTAACAGAGAATTAGGACGAGCTGCGGTGTATGGGCTGCCAAGTACTCACGCCAAGTTGTAGACCTTGTGGGCGGCAGTCAGCACATGTTGTGCTGTGATTAGCGCCCCACCGCCCAGATACACGTCTGCTGTGGTCAGCAGCGCCGCTTGCCAGGGATACGCGCCGAAGCTGGCTTGCCCGGGACCAGCCAGAGCCGAGCCTGCTGGAGGTGGAAACCGCAATCCGCATTGATAGTTGCCCGCCTGGCAGCAGGCCACCAGACCATAGTTACAGGTCAAAGGAGCCGCTGTGGTGCTGGCTGTGGGCTGAAAGCAGAGCAAGGATTAGATTGATAGTCCCAGGATCATCTCCTTTGTCCTAGCCAAGCGACTCACCACTCCGCCACTGTTCACAATGCGTATATCCAGCTGACCGCTGCCGTCATTTGGAGGCGTGGGCAGTGGATTCGGACAGGATCCAGCGGGCACGCAACGGCAATTACTTGCGGCGGGAGTCACTACGGCACTTATGGGCGGCACCAAGGTGCCCACAATCAATTGTCGCGCGAGCACTGCAAGAGGTCAAGTGAGAAGAGCTTCGTATGCCACTCGCCAGCTTCGACTTACGCGTGTGATTATCCAGATTGCCTGCATCGCTGGGCTGGGGTGCGCTCTGCTCGGTTAGGGAGCCAAAGCTCCAGCCGTGCACACCAGTGTCACCGAGCAGCTGGAGGAGCAGCAGGCCGAGTGTTGATAGTAGTGCATTCATCGCCTATACAATGGCAACTAACCTGGTTAAGTGACATGCCACCTGGCTATATAGGGCGATCCGAGCGTACGTCCAGCACATAAATTACCAACCAAACGACCTCAGTTTTGAGTGAGCTCCAGCTCAGGGATTTTCCGAGCTGCATAAAGCAAAAAAAAGAAAATTAAACGCTCTCAACCGCAATCATAAAGAACAGCAACAATGTGAGAGATAATCAATGCGACATTTGAATGCTTTCAACTTTTAACTCTGATGGTTTAACGCAGCTGAAGCTAGTAGGAAATTTTTAGGTCTGCATATCCATATTATTAAAATATAGCTTAGAAACTTGCTAACTTTATTTTAAAATGTTGTTCTATGTGCTTCAATAAGGTAATTCCCCTTCAAAACATGCTATCTGTTTTTAGAAATCTGTTAATTGAACAAACGATGTCTCGATGATAAATGACGATAAATAATTTACTAAAAATATAGAAAACAGAGTAGATGTTTACTTAGCTAGCCAAATATAGCCAAAAGACTAAAGATATTTTTAAATGTCTCGAAGCCCTGATTTAAATTCTTTTTTAATTTAAATTATACTCCAAATACTGTATTACCTAAGCTTCTATAAATCTTGAGAATACTATGTAATTATATGGAAAAGCTATTTTTTTATCAGAATTGGGAATAGATTACATTAATTAATATAATATTTATTTAAATATGCAATTAATTATTGGAAAATAGCCGCAATATTATTAATACTGTTTTTACAATTAAATTATTAATATGATTTATACATATGTACGTATATTTTCACTATTGAAAATTGCTTAAGTTAAAGATAACAAGGTAGCTGATGAGCTCAAATTTATCTATAGTGTGTATAGAGTGTCAGCTACTCATATGTATATTAGTATGCGTGCATTTGTGTATATGTGAAAATTAAATAAACAAACGTCCATCCATAATAATAACAAATACATTTTGTACACTCACCCGTAAGCCGCGAGGCTAGTAAAATGAGTGAAAAAACTCTGTCTGTATTCGATATGCGGTCATTGGATAATAAATAAATTGCGCTGACAAATTTGATAGTGATTATGTTCATGTTGCTTTTCTTTTTTTTCCATTGTGTGTGTTGGCTGTGACAATTTTTGATTTGATTTTAACAATTTAATGGTTTAATTGTGCAAACATGCACTGGCATGAGCACTATTATAATAGTTGTTGTTATTAATATTATTGTTGTTGTCTTTGTTGTTAACAAACGCTTAACACTTCGATAAACATTTTAACTAAAAAAAAGAACCGTAAGACATTTAAATATTTTAAGCTTAGATAAAGAAAGTTTAGAATGCAAAGCTTTTGCCCTATCGACCAACTCGAGTTGGTTGCCTGGGTAAGAATTCAATTCATATTACGAATCGAAATGTTCAGCGGAGGTCACGTATTATTGGACTTCTCGGCCATACCAAAGTTGCATGGGCCAGAGAATTTTTGGCATTGGCGAATGCTCCTGCGCGCCTATTTGGAGTCAGCTGACCTCTGGAGGGACGACCATCCCAAGGATGTGAGTTTTATTTTCTAGCTGAAAGTTGTAAGAAACCTTACTAAGTTTTTTATTTCACTTTGCTTTCTGTTTTTTTTAGAACCCCCACGCCAAGTTCATAGTTTTGGCCTCTGTGCAGTCTGATAAGATAGAGCCAGGATACGATGATGAGACACCAAAGCAAATATTTAAAAGTCTAGAAGAACGTTTCCGCCCATATTAGTGGGGAATTTAATTCTCTAATAATAAAAGTTATATACATATAATAATTCTAAATAATTCAAATATTGCTTCATATATGATCCACACAAATCAAATGATATTGGCTTTTTAAATGAACAGATAAAAAAACTAAATAACAAAAATTATGTTTGTCTTTGATAATTTCAATATATTTTTAAATTAATAATAATTAAGCTTAAGTTGTATTGAAAAAGATAAAAATTAACTTAAAGCTCAATTTGCTTTTACAGAAACAAGAAATACATTTGATAATAATTATTCGATCAAAGCTCTGCTACCATGATTGTAATTTAAATTGAATTGTTGGCGCGCAAATTGACTACGCGTGAAGTTGGCTGCGCGCAAATTTCAGCTCAGGTGAAGTTGGCTGCAAAGCGATAGTTATAAATATATTTAGTTCACTTAACTTTGGCTGCGGAACTAAATATATTCATAGCTATCATAAAAAATAAACATTAATTATGAAACACAGCATTTATTCTTAAAGAACAAAATTTGAAAAATAGCTATTGAACAAGTTGGCAGCCACTGTGATAAGGTCACACTCGAATAGTCACAACACTAATCGATATATAAAGTCTATCGTGCTATCGACTTAAGCTGTTTTTTGTTTTCGATGACAGTTGCACTTCAGAAGTCAAATCGTAAAGACGTGCGGAGCGCGTGTGCTTAATATTTGCTTTCTAACTAAACGTTAGAGTTAAGATACATTTTAACTAATGACTCTAAACCAAAACATGAGAAAGTTTTTTCAATACTAACAACGAAATTAATAAACTACAAGAAACGACTGATACAATAACCAGCACGAACTGCAATAAGTGACAAAAAATCAAAGCAGGCCAAGAAGAAGAGGAAGAAGCCAAAACAACGCGACATCGACACCTGTTTGCCTGCATTCCTGAACCTGTGCAACACTGTGCGTTTCGGTGTTTGTGTGCGTGTATGTGCATGTGTATGTGTAATATTAAAGAATACGAACTTCCAAACGAATTTTATTTTTTAAACAGTGTTTAAATAATTATCAATTTGTTTGGCCATTGCTGCAATTGCAACATTTTGCAGCCGCCGCGCCTGCGCAGAAGAAACAACAGCAGAAACAACAGCAGAAACATAAACACAAACATAAACGAAAACCGGTTAGAGTGAGACAAGAAGACCGCACGCACACACAGTTGCAAACTGCTCACACACACACATAGTTTGTATTCGTTTTTTTTGTTTGCGTTTGCTTGGAAAATAGAAATAGAAGGAAACACAAAAGTCCCAACAGAAAAAGAAAAAAGAAAAAGAAGAAATAATCAATTGCAAGTGTTGAAAAGTGTGACGATACACAAAGAAAACAAAAAGCCAATTCACACGAAATAAGAAATTAGAAATAATAATTGTGCTGTGCGCGGAAATTGGGTAACAGAAAAAAAAAAATAATAATACCAAATTTTTAAAAATATGTTTGCATAAGGGTTAATGCCCAAACGCCTTATCGTTAAACAAATCAATGGCCGCGCGTATAACGAAAGTGAATTAAGGTCCCAAAATAATTGTAACAGCAATTTCCTAACCAGTTTCGAGAGGTTCGCCCTTATCTGGAACGCCAAGCCACTTGTTGTCCGAATTGGTGAGTAATAGCCTTAATATTCTTTATTGTTTGGCTCTAATCTCTTTACCTGGTCTTGTGGAATGTCCCTCGCGGAGTCTTTTATCTTTGTAAGGCATTAACTTCCCCCCCCAATGGATCATTGACCAACATTTGAACTGGCTCCGCGCGAACCAAAAAAAACATTTCAACTTTCACTGAATTGCGCGCCAAAATTGAATTGGATTTGCGCAAATTTGATAGCGAATTCCAAATTTGATATGCAATCGAGTTTTCTCTTGTAAATCAAATTTATTTCATGTATCTGCTTTTATTTTGTGGCTTTTCATATTGTCGCTGTCGTTGTTGTTGTTGTTGTTGTTGCTGGGGTTTGTTTATTATTATTGTTTTCGCTTGGAGCTGATGTAACCAAAAGCTGATTGCCGAACCGATTTGCAGCTTCATTAAGCTCAACTCGCCTCAAATTGAGTGTAAGGCGAGGCGAAGCTGATTATGAGATAATCAGCAAATTGCTCCACACAATTGCGGAACACGCTGCAAGTCATGAGAGAAAGAGCTTTAACTGTTAATCATTTCCTCGGCTCACAGGCGAACAAGTAAAGCGTAATTGTTCAACATTAAATAAGACTAATTAAAAACTCTGCCTAAATAGTTCAAGAAACCTATGCGGCTCGTTAAGGAATGTAAGTAGATCCACTTAGTAATTGCATCTAAAACTTGGTAGGCTTATAAAATTACAAGCAAATATATGATTTAAAGTGGTATTTATGCTCCTCATAGTGCTCTAAATATTTATTAAAAAGTTTCACTATTGCCATAAATCGATAAATATGAAAATCATATTTTATTTTACAAACATGACTTGAACAATTTTCGCACAGTCGCACAATCGCACACAGTTAATATTAGCCGCGCTTTCCTCTTAGTAACTCCGGCTAAGCCAAAACTAACCGCAAGTTGTTTGCAATTGAATTTGAAGCATGACTCATGACTGTTGCTCCATTCATTCAAATGCTTAGCTGCATAAATGAATACAAACTGGAAAACAAAATTCCAACTTCAATAGCCCAAATATTCCCACCAAAAAAATAAAAATAAAATGCTGCAGAAATAAACAAATAGCAGCAGCAGCAGCAGCAACAACAGCATTTTTAAGCCAAGCCGTCAACAACAACTTTATGAAAACCAACAGCAACAACAACAACTTGATACAAACTATGCAAAAAGTTATATAAAAAACACGTTGAGCATCGATGTGTATGTGTGTGTGTGTGTGGCAACAGTGCAGTGTGCAGTGGAGCTGGACGGGGCGGTGAGGTGGAGACACATGACGCTCACTTTGAGCCACGCTTCAATTGCAAATGCGCCAGCAAGCAAAAAGCATTGACGCAGCTACCAGATATTGTTGTTGCTGTTGTTGTAATTGTAAATTCTACAGGTTTCGCTTACACTGTCTGTGTAGCAGTTGTTGCCTTAATGGCGCACAACAACAGCAACGACAACAACAACAACAATGCAATTTTACGCCAGAGCTAAAAAGGCGATCGAATCGAAGCAATCGTCGATCAAAGCTCCTCCAATCGTAGGCAAACCGGGCCAAAAGCCAGACAGCATCCGATTTGCAGGCACTGTGGCCACAAACCAGATGTACAAGCGCAATGACATAAGCTGCTTTGAAATCCTTAAAGGATGTATTATAATAATAGATTTTTAATCGAATATAGTTGATGGAGTAGAGTGGATAGTATTCTCCGGAAATTCGTTTCACGGCGGATTAAAGCTATAGGAACTGTTGTTGTTGCTGCTTAAAGTTAATGACTATCAATTAAAAGTAGTCAATAATTATATAAATTTTATGCTTCAGTAAGCGAAATATATATAATCATATCATAGCAATAGATAATGCGAGGCTCGAATAAGGCTAATGCCTATAAAAGTCCTAGAAATATATACAAATATATAAGCAAATATATTAACTTATTTATAAATATATAAAATAATATATACATTTAAAATTAATATAAAAAAAATATATAAATTTATATATCAATTTAATAGTATTTCAAGTGTTTATCTGTTCACAATTTGCATTCCCAAAGAGAACTCACGAAAGCCCACTTAGAATGGATTGGGGTATTTGAGCAACGTTTTGTCTTGGATTGTGCCCACTGTGCAGCGGCTGCACATTGCATTGGCTTGCCCCACAACAACGTTGCAGTAATACTTTGTCTATGGGTCCCCCGAGCGGCTGCCTGCCTGCCTGCGTGCCGCTGGTTCGTGGCCAAGTTGCCCAAGTTGGCCAACTGCTTGTTGGCCACTTGGTGCTCGATACGAATTGGCAGCCGTCGGGGGCTTCAGTCGATGCGATTCAACTCGAATCGGTTTAGCTTTGGTTTGGTTTCGATTTGTTGCTGTCGTTGTGCGATTGGAACTCGTAATTGTTTCATAAAACGCAAAACTGGCCGGACAGGCCAACTGACAAGGGAGCACTGCAGCAGCGAGGGCGTAGCGGTGCGGGGCGTGGCAGGCTAGCTCTGAAAACAGGTGCGCAAAACGCAAGCGCGCGTTTTCTGGTTTTTTGTTTTGGCTTTTCGAATTGCGAGTTGAGAGTTGGCTGGCTTTTGGGGCAACACATTTCGGTTTTAATTATGGCTTTGCGAATCGCATGCGATATATATCGCATGCACAAACATGTATGTAATGGCACAAGGTTGTTATGCAAAGAAAAGACAAGGAGAGAGAGGGAAGAGTTATTCCCTTTGGCAATGGAAGTGGTTAAACATGCGTAAATACAGATGCATAAATATGGATACACATATACACATACATACATACATATATGTATATGCACAATCACAAGATCCACTCTGGGCGGTTGAGCAATTGACTGGGCAGCGCTTATTGGAGCGCAACGCACTGGACAGCACGTAGACTGAAATCGTCTAGAAATCATGTTCTACATTCACAGTCATTCATGTGGGGAAGATTATATACATATGGTTGTTCTGTTCTGATCTGATCTAGATTGTCATTGGCCTGCCTATGGGCACAGCATAAGAGCACTTGAAGCCAGGCGAATCTTATATTGATTATAGCCGTCGTCGTATCTCGATGCGTGACATTAACTCGTACAGTTAAACAGTTATTCTACAGTTTGTTTTCTAGATTGTTAAGTACAGTGCAAACTCGATTGTTGTAAGGTCTTTCAGAGAACATTTGTTTATTTTCAATTCAAGTCGAAAACAGATTGATTGTGGTTCAAGTCTTTTCACGCTGTCACCTCTAATTTGTTGTAAACTATTTATTAGGCCCAAGGTCATCTGTTAATGAATCATTGTTGTTAGTATACCCTAAACAGCTCTAATGGAATTGATTAAATAATTGAGTCACACTAAGAATTACGCAGTTGTAAGTGTCAGGAGACGTAAATGGCTTTACAAGTGTCTTATCTGGGCGATGGGGCTACTGTTTAGATAATGATGAGGGCTTGGGCTGTTCATATGGCACTTAATCATGTGGCATTACAACTGAAAGTATCTAGCAGATACAAAACGTTCTAATGCCAAGGAAATTCGAGAACGCTCTGCCATCTGCTCATTTGCAATCTCTAAGATACTTTGTAGCTGGCTTCGCTGCCTTACTTCAAACTTAAATACCATAAGCTGCGCGGCACACAACCATAAATAAATGCACACACACATACACTCATCTGGAGTGTGTATACAACTAGATTGTATCTCAAGTTACGCGCACACGCGTCGCCTTTTGTCGGCGCATTTGTGTTTACACCTGATTGCAATTTGTATCTAGCAGATACAAGTGTGCTTTGCATACAACGAATGCCGTTAAAATGATATAAACAGCGAGCTTTTTAGCCGTTACTGTAACCGACTCGGATGTATCTCTGTGTATCTCTCGGTATCCATGTATCCGAGTATCTGCGTATCTGCATGCAGCGAAGCGCGCCGACAAAAATACAAGTTTTGTTTTCTTAACGTTTAGTTTTACCTCATGGTATTTTCTTGCGGCCTTATTAATATTTATCAATTTGTTATTTAACTTGTTTTTGATTTCTTTGTCTTCTTTTTATATGCATTTTTTATATTTTAAAAACAACCTTTTTTTTAAACAAATTCAAAGAGTCGCAAAGTAAAAAGAAAAAGCCACAAATTTTTGCATAATTTGGACACATCTAAAGGGGTTTTATTTGCTTAAGGTGTAGCCAACAGAGAAGAGGTAGACGAAGGAGAAAGGCAAGAAGAAGCAGCTGCAACAGTGAATAATGTTCGTTTTGTTTTAATTGATTTTCGAACATTTATTGCTGCGTATTCAAGGCATTTTGCTAAAATAGCCAATTTGACCTTATTATCGAGTATCTGTCTTGCTCGGAATGATAATTAAGTACTTGAACGTCGCTTGGACAGGTGGCTTTGCGTGCTGCTTTAATTAATTGTATGGAATAATGAATGTTGACTGAAATGAAATGCCTCATGGCTTAGATATCAGAGCTGGTCATTAATATTTCATTTCTTGGCCATTTATTATGGCCATAGAACCGTGTCAAAGCATTTAAAATCAATTTGGAAACGCAATTAAAACATGTGCTAAACTCTAACTGGAAAATAAAAAAAAATGCTATCAATATTCAGGTGAAACCTCAAGCGACGAAAGCTGAGCACCAAAAGGCGATAAAAAACTGTTTGGTTTAGTTTTTTTTTTACAGCTCGCAGCTCGCAGCTCGCAGCTGACAGCTGACTATTACAACGGACTGTTGGCCCGTAAGCTGCGAACCGTAAGCCGCGCCCACGATAAGCGTATTTACATTGCGGGCTGTGCAATCCGAGTGCTTGGCAGCTGGCTTAGAACACTTAACCATGCCCAGAGTTTCTATCTTATAAAACAGCACGCATTCTTGACTGTTTGCCCAGTATCTGCCACTGCGACTGCGACTGCGACTGCGGCTTTGTTGTATTTCACATTTGGTTAGTTTAGTTTTTTATGGCTCACAGTTCTGTTGAAAT